ATTTTTAGCTTCCAGTTATGGCTATGATTTTTTAGTAGCTAGTGATCCTTCAGTCCTAGAAGTAGAGGGTATAAACACCTATCCAGTGGCATTTGTGCTGATTCCACCAACATCACAGACTAATTCTCTCCCAGAGTAGGAGAATTTCTGCCTAAACTCACTACTCTTGGACTCTCTTCTCAACAGAAGTTGATGACCTCGCATGGAAATGAGAGCTATTAGCAGACATAGAAGTACCATCTCCAAGAGATGGCACTGCTTGCTGGTACACAAAAAGCTACAGACCCTGGAACACATCTGGATACCCAACCCATAGCAGGTGAGCCAGGCCGCCTCATTGTCATCAAGCAAATCTTATTCACATGCATTTGAACTTCACAGCAGTCTAGTCACAGATGTAGTAAAAAGCAAACAAACACTTCTGTGGTTTGGGTTCTAACCAAGATTCAAAAGGTGACATTGAAAAAAAAAAAGATTAATTATTGAAAAGATAGATTCTTTGGAATTAAAAAAAATCTCTTTTAAGAAATGTGGCTAAAATAAAACCAAATCATATACAATTACTTTTAATTTATAAAAGAGGATTCTAATAAAAATAAAAAATGTTAAATTCTCTTACCTGCTGAACTAAACTCTGCAAATATACTTTTGTTTGTTTGAGGCTTCCCATCTGGATCAATGTCCATGATGGTACGCCACAATTCAGAAAATCTAGCTCGTTTTTCTTTGGGCATATATATTCCATGCCATAGTGCTTTCAACATATAGTCAATATTGATCAGAATTTGCCCAATTCTGGTATCAAAATAAGCTGGGGGTAATTGACAAGAAGAACTCTGATCATAATTAGCTTCTAAACTGACTGAAGGAATTTGATTTAAGCAATAAATTCCAACAGCCAATTCTCTTATGATCTGATGGACTTCTCTATAGTCTAAGAGGGCAGTAGGGTCCATAGGAGTCAGTAGGATTGCAGTGGAGAAGCCTACATTATTCATTTGACTCATGATTCCACACGGCATGTCTAGTTGAGAGCGAACATCTTCTTTGGCAGACAGCCAGCTAACTAGTGCAGTAGTTAGCAACTCTTGTACTTCACTCCGATCATACTTTTCAAAAAAAGCAGAAGCATTTCTCTGTACAGCTAAATTTTCCAGGTAGGTTTCTTCATCTTGATTTTGATCAAATCTAGGTGCTCCTTTTTTGGGCAATCTTAACATTTCTAATTAATTCTACTGTGTCCTTTTTGAAGTTTCTGCAATGAAATGAATGAAAAGGAAAAGACAAGCAATAAAATTTATCATGGTAATGAAGCTGAATTTCTCAAGAGATAAATCTATACCTTTCATCTTTATGGTTAATTGTTTCATGGTCAACCATTACATAATTGACATACATTATATTAGTTTCAGGTGTACAACATAGTAACTTAATATTTGTATATATTTTGAAATGATCAACACAAAAAATCAAGTTAACATCTGTTACCATATATAGTTACAGAATTTTTTTCTTATGAGAACTTTAAAGATTTACCCTTAGCAATATTCAGATATGCAATATGTTATTATTAACTATAAACATTTATTGATTTTTGGCTGCTCTGGGTCTTTGTTGCTGGAAGGGCTTTCTCTAGCTGTGACGAGTGGGGACTACTCTTCGCTGCAATATACGGGCTTCTCAATTGCGGTGGCTTCTCTTGTTGCAGAGCGCAGGCTCTCGGTGTGTGGGCTTCCGACGTTGTAGCTCACTGGCCCCGGAGCGTGGGCTCAGCGGCTGTGGCACAGGGACTCAGCTGCATGTGGAATCTTCCCGGACAAGGCACTGAACCTGTGTCTCCTACATCAGCAGATGGATTCTCATCCACTGTGCCACCAGGGAAGTCCTGGTATTATTAACTATAGTTGCCACGCTATACATTACTTCCCCATGACTTATTTATAACTGAAGCTTGTACCTTTTGACGCCCTTCACCCATTGTACCCACCTCACCCTCTGTCTCTGGCAACCACCAAACTGTTCTCTGTTATCTATGCTTGGGTTTGTTTTTTGTTTGTTTTGAGATTCCACATTAAGCAAGATCATATAGCATTTGTCTTTCTCTGTCAGACTTATTTCACTTAGTATCATGCCTTGAAGGGCCATGCGTGTTGCCACAAATGGCAAGATTTCATTCTTTTTTATGGCTAAACAATATTTCACTGTGTACGTGTAAATAAATGCTCCACTTTCTTTATCCGTTAATCGGTCAAGAGGTTGTTTTTATGTCTTGGCTGTTGTAAATAATGCTGTAATAAATATGAAGGTCTATATATCTTTTGGAGTTAGTGTTTTCATTTTCATTGAATAAATACACATAAGTGTTATTACTGGATGATATGGTAGTTCTATGGATTTCCCTGGTGGCTCAGACAGTAAAGAATTTGCCTGCAGTGTGGGAGACCTGGCTTTGATCCCTGGGTGGGGAAGATCCCCTGGAGAAGGGCATGGCTACCCACTCCAGTATTCTCGCCTGGAGAATTTCATGGACAGAGGAGCCTGGTAGTTGACAGTCCATGTGGTCACAAAGAGTCCGACATGACTGAGCAACACTTTCATGACAGTGGTAATATCTTTTTCAGGCTTAAACTAATTGCAGCATAAGAAAGCTGAAATCTGAATTAAAATTGTAGAACTTTTAACATTAATCATAATATGTTTTTCAAAAGAGGTAAAAAGATACAAGGAAGTATACCAAAAAGAAACAAGTTTATATATAAGAAGATACTGCTGCATACCTATTCTTCTGTTGTTGTAAAGGCGTTTTCACAAGGTCAACTTTTTCAGGGTTTTTGTTTTGTTTTTTTAAAGCAAGAAAACAAAGACTTGCTTTAAAAAAAAAAAGCAAAGACAAGAAACAGTTCCTTAATGTTGTATCTCTGTTCAATAGAAATGGGATTCTATGCAGTGCCTCTCCATTTCTGGAATAATAACCTAACTACTATTTACTGAGCATCTATTTACCCAGCTCTTTATACACAAAAATTTTCATTTAACTGGTCTCTCTGTACAGTGATTCTCAAAATCTAGGCTGTTTTTAAATCACCTGGGTCTTGTTCTGGCAGACCGCTGGATCCTACTCTAGAGATTGAGTGGGGTAGGAGTGGGGCCAGAGGATTTCCATTCCTGAAAAAGATGCTGCTGGTTCTGGCAGGATACTTGGAGAACCCAGTTTCGCGACAGGCGTTGGGAGCCCAACTCTACAGAGGCAGAAACCAGGCTAGGAAGAAGAGAGGATGGGCCTGAGGTTTCACACCTTCAGAATCAGAACTGATTCCTCAAGTCCATCCTCAAGTCCAGGCCCTATGCACACACAGACGCGGGAAAAGGGAAGGGACGAGGAAAAGGAAGCAACCTGCTCTGCGATGACAGTGTGTCCAGGAAAAGGAAACGTCATCCACACCAGTGCCCAGAGTACTCCCGGGGTCAGGGACGGCAGTCTTCTCGAAGGGTCTCTAGCCTGGACCCGAATTCACCGCCTGGAACCCCGAGTGACCGAGAGCGAGGGAGGGACTGGACGGGACTCTCCTGAGCAGAGGCCTGGGAGGCCCGCTTCCCCCGCGGGGTCCTGGGAGCCCTGGGCCTCGCCTGCGGTCCTGCCACCGGCGCGGGCAACAGCCGTTGGTTCTCGGGCTTGGGGCCGCCGGCCGGGGCGCCGCCGCGAGAGGGCGCTCTTGTACACCCGTGGGTGGGGCCTCTTCCAGAGGCCGCGGGCACCCATCCCGGCTAAGATTCATCCCTCACCGCCACCCCCCGCCCCACCCCTTTAGAACTCAATCTGGACTTGGGCTTGCGAAGTCAAGTGGGTCTTAGGAAGCATCACTACGAACAAAGCTAGCAGAAGTGATGGAATTCCAGCAGAGCTATTTCAAATCCTAAAAGATAACGCTGTGAAAGTGCTGCACTCAACATGCCAGCGAATTTGGAAAACTCAGCAGTGGCCACAGGACTGGAAAAGGTCAGTTTTCATTCCAATCCCAAAGAAAGGCAAT